CCTATTAACTTAAACTGAAATCCTGTATTACTTACATTGTCTTACTATGATTGATCTTAACTGAATCCGATTCATAAGACCATGGGTTTGCCTTGGCTGATTTTATTTGAATTTGGTATGCTTGTTAGTATCAACCCTAAAAGTAGAGGCAACTACTCTGAAGATGACAAGATGTAAAAGATATCCATACTGGTATTAATTATTAACAGCTCCCAAATCCTACAATGCTTTCAAAGTTGTGTTTTTATACAAATAGGTAATACTGTTTAACTATATTAAGCTGATGATGTGGACAAATCTATTGAAAATAACAAGAGAAAACATAGTAACTACAGAAGATCACCTATATTGTGGTCTTATATGTCTTATCCATTGCATGTTTTTCTAGGAATTTGTTTTGCTGTCTTGTTATGACTTGTTTTTCCCTATAATACAGAAAGGATAGATATATATGTAGAAATTCACACATGAGTTTTTTTTTAAAAATTATTTATGGGAACAGATTATATAATGCAAGATGTAATGAACAGATACTCTGAAGAAGACACACTAAGAAACCCAATGCTGATTTTGTAGCATTATGATATAAATTCTAGCAATACTATTATTCACTGATCAGAATGATATTAGTCTAGTCTCTTAAGTTCAAGGCCAGCATGTGTAAAGATGGGGAAGGCTACCATGAAGAGAATGAGAGACGTGATGGTAGTTATTATTGTCTTCCCCAATGTTATATCTTGAAGACCTAAAAAGCCTTCATCATCCTGTAATGATTTGATTAGTTCTATAATATGCAATATGTATATAATGTGGGTGAAGATGGGCACAACTATTTGTAAGAAACTAGAGACAGTTAGATAGACAGTGAAGATATCCAGTGGACTTGCTTTGAAATCTGTATTTCTTTAAATTGTTTTTTTAACTGTTTTGTTCTGTTTTGATATGTTTAATCTTGCCCTCTTTGAGATGTAAAACAAGTGTGTAGGACTGATAACCATATTACTGAGCTTTTGTTCGATCATTGAGCAGAACTGTTTGCAGTGTCACTTTTTGAACATCATTTTAAATACTTTAATTTTGTAACCTGAACAGCTATTTCTAAGATGACAATATGTAACTTATCAACCAGCGATTTCTTACCATTTATTTTTCTGTAATTTTATATTATTTCTACCCTTTTTTTTAATCTCCATGTATTTTTTTGTTTCCTTTTCTTTAAATAAAAAAATTTAAGAAAAAAGAAAATGGAAAGATATCTCTTGCTCATGAATGGGAAGAACCAAAATTATGACACAGGCCATACTCCCAAAACTTTTGTACAGATTTAGTGCAGTCCCAATTAAGATAACATTAACATACCTTACAGATCTAGAGAAAACTTCCTAAAATTCATTTGGAAATAGTGAAAACCTAGAATAGCAAGGCTATTCTGGACCACAAAGGTAAGGCAGGAGGCATCTCAGTTCCTGACATGAAATTATACTACAAAGCTACAGTGATAAAATCAACATGGAAATGGCAAAAAAATAGACCTGAGGATCAATGGGACAGATTAGAAGATGCAAACATGACTACAAAGACACTCAGCCACCTGATATTTGACAAAGGGACTAAACATGTTCACTGGAAGAAGGAAAACCTCCTTTAACAAATGGTGTTGGAAAAATTGGCTCTCCACATGCCAAAGGCTGAAACTAGACCCATGTCTACCACCGTGCACGACACTAAAGTCTAAATGGATCAAAGACCTAAATATTAAAACAGAAACATTAAGTCTACTGGAAGACTAGGTAGGTAGAAATCTTGGAGGCAAAGGGGTAAGCAAACTGTTCATGAACAAAATGCAAACTGCATAGGAAGTACTTCAAAGAATCAACTATTGGGATCTCATTTTATTAAAAAGTTTTTGTACTTCAAAAGAAGTCACCAACAAAGTTAAAAAGAAAACCCACAGAATGGGAAAGGATTTTAGCCAGCAACCCTTCAGGCAAAGTACTTATATCCAGAACACACACAGAACTGAAAAACATCAAGCCTCCCAAATTCAGAGACCCACTCCAAAAATAGGCGTTTGAAATGAGTATGCATTTCTCAGGTGAAGATATACAAATGGCAAATAAATACATGGAGAAATGTTCACCATCACTGGTCATTAGCAAAATGCAAATTAAAACAACACTGAGATTCCATCTCAGTCCAGAAAGAATGTCTACCATCAAGAAATCAACTGACAACAAATGTTGGCAGGGCTGTGGGGGAAAAGGAACACTTCACTGATGGTGGGAGTGTAGACTGGTGTAGCCACTGTGGAATCAGTGTGGAGATTCCATAAAAAACTAGGATTAGAAGTTCCATTTAATCCAGCTTTTCCCCCTTTGGGTATCTTACCAGAAAAATTGAAAAGATCATGTTACAGTGATATATGTGCACCTATGTTTATAGCAGCACAATTTGTAATAGCTAAATCTTAGAAATAACCAAAATGCCCATCGACTGCAGAATGGATGAAAAAAGATGTGGTATTTTTATACACTGTAATATTAATCAGCTATAAAAGGAATGATCTTGAGGCTTTTATAGGTAAATGGAGATAGCTTGAGACTATCCTCATAAGTTAAATAAATCAGACTCACATTTGTAAATATCATATTGTCTCTCTAGTGTAAAAAATAAACAATAATAATAATAAACTGAAAGAGTAATAAGATCCACAATGTATAATAGATATTATAATAATGAAAGGGAAATAAAGTGCTCAAAAGGAAAAAACAACTTGTAGGTATACCCACATAAATGTATGTTTGTTTAAGTGTGCGAGATATGTGACCATACTACTAAGTTTTTGTTAGTACATAAAACAGAATAATTTGTACTGACATTGTCTGTTCATTTTTTATGCTTTTATTTTGTAACTTGAACAATAACTTCTAAGATAACAATATTTAATATACCAACTAGTGATTATTTCTTAATGTTATTTTTTGAAATTCTCTGTCATTTCTACCCTTTTTTGTTTTGCGTTTTTAATTAAAAAAATAAAAAGGAGGTGATCAGAGCTTTCCACTAGACTCTGACCTCCAGCTGCAGTCCCAGCATTGCTCAAAGAACACTTGATCATCAAAAACACAGGACATTGATTATTCCAGTTTCTCAGAAACAGTAATGTAAGTTTGATTTTGTTTGTTTGTTTGCTTTGTTTTTGTTTTTAGTGTATTTTCCAAGTATTTCAAGGGACATGCTATCCAAAGCTTTATGTATTGTCTCCTTCACATCTGTTAGAGAAGCTTGCGGCCATCTTGGCTGAGCCAGTCCGGTCCCTTTAGAGTCTTCTCATTTTGCTCTCAGAGTCAGCTTGGAATGAAGAAGGAATAGAGTGGGCTTTCTCTTCCTTTGTCTTCTTCGGAACTCAACTCTATCTTTTGGATCTAACTTTGATAACTCATGGTCTATTTCCAGGCCAAATGCATCTCACTGTGCCCTCAATAAAATGCAGAAAGGCAGCTTGTCTTTCCCACTGTAGCTGTTGCCTAAAAAGAATATTAAATACATATCTATACTTTCCTGATCCTTCTCTTCCTGGGCCATCTAATCTCAATTCATTCCTAATTCTTAGTCTAAATATTACAAAACCGTTTTGGCTCAGCAATACCAATTGTATAACTGTATGCTAAGGAAAACAAATATATAAATATGTAAGCATAAAAAATCTATCTCAGCAATATTTATAACAAAATAAATTTAATTCCAATGTTAGATTTGTTAAAGTTATATTACATCCATATAGTAGAATAATACATCAGTATTAATATCATGCTTGGAAGTCTTCTGATAGTGTGTAATATTAAATAGTTTAATAAAGTAGAAAATACCTATAACACATTTAGAAAATATACTCTCATTTCTAATTTGTATAAATATGCATGTATATTTATGCAGAGAAAAAGCAGACTGCAGGTCATTCTTAACATCAAAATGTTAGCAATTGCTTTCTTCTGGATTGTGAGTACTCTGAAACTAATAGTATTACTATTGAAAACTGGCAAAGATTCAATGGTATATAAAAATAATCATTATTATGCCTTGAGAGAGATTTCCCTTCTTGTATTGTTCTAGTTTTAAGTCCTTGTGGCTTAAAACTAAAGAAGAGTTTGTGAACAAGCAAGTTCTGGTTTTCCCAAGAAAAGGAATGAAGTTAACAAATCTTCTGGTCAGCAAAGTAAGGAGGGTTCCAAGAACAAAAAGTGCATAGTTTGTTGCAGGAAACAAAAGTAACATTTTGAGAGTCTAAGCACCAGATCAAACCTTTGGATAAAGAGGAATGTAAACTTCTACCATGGGATCAGAAAGAAAACAAAAAGCAAAACTGTCAAGGGGTGTAGAGAAAGTAAACGAGTAGAGACACCAACACTTCAGGGACCCCAGAGAAAGAGTGAAGTAAGAGGGAAAACAACTGAGAAATAGCACCCCACCTAAACCAGCACCAAACAAGACTCAGAGAATAAACTTCCAAAGCCAAACAAGTCACACCAAAGCTTTTGTTTCTTCCATGTCGTCCGAGGTACCAACACTGGACATCACAGATGAATTAAAGGAGCTTTTGTAGCAAAACGGGTGACTGATGCCAGAAACAAGCTTGTGATGAGAAGTCTGGGGGGAAAAGGAAAATGAAAGGGCTGATATCTTAAGAATTATAACACCAGGACAATACTTGAACCTCAGGAAAGACTAAGAATTATGTGAGACTGTCACAGTCGCCTTTGCTTCACAACTTCCTTCAGGTGTGTGTTTGCCCAGATCTGTAGGTCAACACTATAACAATGGGTGATAGAGTTGCAGCTCTGAGCAGTATGTCTGTGCCTTGAGGCCTCATTCTGGGTGGACCAAGGAGTCCAACACTCGCAGTAACACACATCATGCCTGAGCCCAACTGTCCCCCTCCTCCTTGAAACTAACTATAAATCAGGCCCTTAGGTCTAAGAAATTGGGAGGGGAGCAGGATGTTAAGGGCTCCTAAGGTACCTATTCATGAGCCTCCTCATGGCTCCTGTGACCTCCTTGTTCCTCAGGGTATAGACAAAAGGGTTGAACATAGGGGTGACAACCGTGTAGAAGATGCCGATGATCTGGTCAGTGTCTGGAGATGAGCCTGCATCAGGCCTCAAATAAGCCACAGTTGCAGTTCCAAAAAAGAGAATGACAACAAAAAGATGGGAGGAGCAGGTGGAGAAGAGCTTTAAACGTTCCTGGACTGTTGCCACTCCAAGGATGGTGGCAAGTATACAGACATAGGACAGCATGATCAACAAAAAAGGAGTCAAGACGAAGGATACTGTAACAAAAAGGTTCCCAACTTCACCCCTGAAGGTGCTTACAGTAGCCAGTCTCAGCACAGGCATGATGTCACACATGTAGTGGTGGATGATGTTGGCACCGTGAAAGGGCAAGGTGAAGATGCAGATGGAGTGAGTGGTGCCAGTGATGATGCCCATGAGGTAACAGGCCCCCACCATGCAGGCACATGCTCCCTGGTTCATCAGTGTGGTGTAATGCAGTGGCCGACAGATGGCAGCATAGCGGTCATACGCCATGGCAGTGAGCAAACAGCACTCAGTGACCCCAAAGAAGGAAAAGAAATACATCTGGGTGAAGCAGCTGGCAAGTGGAATGGTGGGGTGAGAAGACAGGAGATCGACCAGCATCCTGGGCACGATGGTGGTGGTGTAGAGGATCTCCACCAGGGAGAAGTGCCGAAGGAAGAAGTACATGGGGGAGTGGAGGGCAGGGTCAGCCAGCGAGAGGACGATGATCAGGGAGTTTCCCAGCAAGGTGACCAAGTAGATGCAGAGCACCCCCCAAAACAGAGGAGCCTGGAGGGAGTGAAAACCTGAGAACCCCAACAGAATAAACTCAGTCAGTGCTGTGTCATTGTTCCCAACCATGTCCCCAAAGTCAAACAGGAAGTGTCCAGGAAGACTCTTATGCATTAAGAAAGGCAGTCAGGCAAAGACAACGGCTGTGGCAGACAGATGTGGGAAAGTCCACAAGAACATCCCAGCTCTCATGAGCAGGACAGGTGATCTCCTGGTCCATTGGTGAATTCATCCTAGAAAAATGACTCAAAGCAGAAGAAAGATAAGTCAGGCAAGTTAAGGGAAAGTGAAAGATCTTGCTTAAGGCCAAGTACTGATGATCACCATGATAGATTTTCCACTTGCACAGGGTCTAGAAGTGAAGGGCTGGGAATGAAAGGACAGTGCTCCTCAAGAGGTACTTTAGAATTTGAGAAGAAAATGCGAATCAGACAGAGTACATGAAGCTGGCAGAAAAAGACAGCAGTAAAAGGGAATCCACCATGAGGCAGAAAATAAGAGGGAATAATAAAGCAGCTGTAGCATAGGGCAGAAAGACAGACATAGGCTCAAAGAACACAGTGGTCCTGTGAGAGGTCTTGTGGAACTTTTAAATGCAAGGAAGTCCCCAAGGCTCTCAGAATGCCCCTCCGCAGCAGCACATTACAGCAGCTCCATCTCCCCAAGAGCCTGATTCCCAGAGAAGTGGGTAAGAAGGGAATCAGACAGGAAACAATGAAGAAAGGAGGAGGAAGTGACTTTTTCCTGCTACATCACAGTGCCTAAGTTCCCTGCCTGACTCTGGAGTATCCAGTGTCCCTGAGCCAGTCTAAAATGGAATTGGGCTCTGGTTTTTGCATGCCCATCCTGATCTTAGCTGCTTGTTGAAGTGGGGCTGGTCAAGTGACTTTCTTTCTGTCTTCTAGAAAGTCAGTATGCACAGTGTTCTAACTCCTTGGTCCACTGGTACAAATGGGACTGCTTGACCCAGTATCCCAAGGACTGCTCCTGTCCTGCCCATCGCCAGTATTCCCAATTCCTCCCCAATGTCTCATAAGCACATCTTTAAACTCTCTTTGCAATAGTGTTAATCCTCAAAGAAAAGAATTATGAAACAGGTCTGACTCTTGGAAGCAACAGGTCTGACTCTTGGAAGAAATCTTAACCTCATGCAGGTTTCTACCACCCCCCAGAGGCTGAGAGAGCTCAGTATTCTCTGATATAAAAATTTAAAAAACACTCTTTTAGGTCTTAGTTGGGATTGATGATACATCACCCTGCATAAGTTGACAGAGATGACCTTAGAGGATGCCTTGAGCATTAGTGGCTCAATAAATTAAAAACCAAGAAAATTGGCAGGTCTCATGAATGGTATGTATCAATTAAATTTGGAGGAATTTTTCTTCATGCTATAGGTTCATGTCCAATTCACTACCCTGGAGAGATCCTTCTAATTCAAAACAGCCTGTGATTTGTTTATGCCACCTTTTTGTTTTATGACAGTTTTTAAGGATTTCAGGTGGGCACAAACTAATAATCTCATTATTCTGGGAGGGCAGGGCAGGAGGATCACAAGTTTAAGAACAGACAGAAAACTTAGTGATTTATCTTAGAGATTCCATGACAATTATTTTTTTAATAAAAGGGGAGTGGGAGGCTGGGAACTTAATTCATCACAAGGGCTCTCAGTTCAATCCCCACTACCACACACAAAAATTTTTCCAATAATTTATGTAAGTATTTTGCCCTCAAGGAAGGGGAACACAACTCATTCCTCATTACTTTCAGGTTGTGCATATTGATCTTCTTGAAAGACGGAAGAAAAGCAACAGAAGAGCCACTTGACCAGCATCACCTCAGCCAGTGACCAAAGTCAACAACTGAGGTAAGTCATGCTCTTCATGCCTTGAATGTTAATGTTATGAAAACAAAACAGATTTCCTTCCTAAAATGCATAAACTCAGGTTAATCATGCAAAAAATACCAGACTCCAATAGAAGAGCATCTCACAAAATAAATGCCTATCATTACTTCTCAAAATCATCAAAGTCATAAAAGCAAAGAAAGTCTAAGAAACAAAGAGATGTGAAAAATAAATATACCCTATTCAGAGTTCTGGAATATAAAATTGAGACTAAGTAAAAATTATGAAAAGCTGAATTAAATATGCACTTTAGGTAATTATTGTATTTCTGTATTTGTTTGTCAGTTATGGTAAATGTGTCATACTATTTTAAGATGTTATTAATAAAAGAAAATGATAATGGAATACATTGGAATTTTATATACTGCCTTGGCTAGTTTTTTGTAAATCTATAACAATTGTAAAATTAAAAGTTTTATGTTATAGCCTACAGATGTTGCTTAGTGATACAGTCCTTTCCTAGTATCCTTGAGACCCTAGGTTCAATTCCCAGAACCACACAGACAAAAAAAAAGGTTTATTGACATGGAAATAAATTTGGAGTATATTACAAAATGAGAAAGGAAAACAAGTACAAACATGATATTTTGTATATAAAAATTTGTATTCTAACAAATAAATGATAGATAAATGTAGATCAATATCCAAGTATATCAGTGAGAGGCTCTCAAAGTTATAGACTTGGGATGTTAGCTATGCTCTTCTTGTTCTTTTGTTTCCTGATATATTTAAATCCATAAATAATCCAATAGAAAGAATAGCATATAAAGTATTAAAATAGAGTAATGAAATTTCTCTTGTTATTTTGATGCTTTAACATCTAATTTATTTTTAATCAACTATGGCCACTTTATGTATTTGAGATTATTTTTATCTGTAGTTAATTTTCTAAGTTGGTCAATAGTCAATTATCACTACACATTTTTTAAATCACACCTGACAGAAAGACTACCAGCAAAACACAATAATAAATATTTGTTTACTTATTATGGTAAGCTGGTTGTTTCCAGTTTATGATGTTTAATACTTTTGCAATTTCCATTTCACATGAAATATAAATAAGAGCAGGTATGACTAGTTCTAAAATATAAACCAAAATGGCAATGTTTTGGCTTTGTTTTTATATTTGGATTTTGGTTTTGGTTTTTGAGTTTTGGAGAGTTTTTGTACATTTCCCTGTTTGCTTTATTTATTTTGGAGTTTTTTTGCAAGATGTTTGTACATTGTTGGGTTTTGTTTTGCCTCTAAAAATCTGCACAATTCCACAGTAACAAAATTCTGGGATTTGTGCAAATGGGATTACCTTGTCCCCATGTAGTGAATCACTAGTCACATTCATGGTTATTCTCTTCTCTAAGAAAAAGGGATTTCAAAAGGAAAGGACTTAGAAGTCTTATATACACAAACACCTCAGTGTTTTTCTCTAAAATCACTCAGGGAGTTAATAGTGAAGCAAACACCAGTAAAACTATGTATCATGGATAGGCCATGGCCATGTAACATACTCATCCTTAACTCAACGAGGTTTAAACACTGCCACTCTGCAAATGAGGAAACTGCTGTAATGCAAATGAAGTATTTTGTCCCATATCACAAAGCCTGACATCAGCAAAAGTAGAACTCAAAGTCAGTCAGTCTGTCTTCATGGTCAGTGTAACTGAGTACTATAAACTAGGCCTCCAAAGACAACACCCACCCCACATGTCTCTGTCATATGTCTACACTTCAATCACAGGAAAAAATTGCCTTGAAGACATGTGTTTTACTCCCATCATAATACAAAAGAAGAAACAGAGGTGGAGAGGGACTATATTTGTCAATTCATTAGTAGTCACAGTGCTACATGCTATGTTTCCACACTGCTGGTATACTACTTCCACTAAGACCTGTTCCACTTCCCCATCTACTACTGTGTGCCTTGTGTGCACATGCATCAACCTATGTGTGTGGATGTGTGTGTGTGAGTGCACAGGGGCAATCTACTCATAGGAGATGTATCCAAGAATTCTGTAAAACAATCACACCAGTACAACAGCTTCTCCAGTCAGCACCTGTCCCACACAGAACTTGAAGTCAAAGACGACCAAAATGGAGGAGAAGGAATGGACCATCAGGTGGTATAAGGTACTACAACCAGGTCTCTGGGGAACCAAGGAAGCTTTAGTGGGTACACGTTCCCTTACTTCCTTGAAAACCAGTGTTCAAGGCTCAGAGTACCACATGTGGCCAGTAGGGGATCATGTATCCCAGAAATAGACAGAGTTCAAGCCACAAGTGCTACTTTCCCCAGGACAGAGCCTTGCCCATGCCCCTACCTCAGCAGCAGATGTCAGTGTTATACATGCAGTACTGGGAAAGGAGCAGTCTTAATATTTTAGGAGCAAATAGGGTGCAAGATACAGCATTGCCAGGACAGAAGAAATCATGGCCAGAGTGATACAGAACTTGTCTGATGCCCCATGAGGTATGAGTGCTCTGAGTTTCACTGAGCATCTTCCATATCAGCTAAGGGCAAGGAATGAGGCAGCACAGAACAAAGGCCACAGTGCTATGTAAGTGTTCATCCAGGTACTGGAGAGTCCCACTCACCCTAAGGAGTGTTTCCAGACAAGTGGGGTGCTGCAGTGTCCAGGGGTGGTGTTGGTAAAGGGGAATGGGGGAAACAATGAAAGGAAAAAATGAAGTGAAGGAAATGAGAGAAGAGGCCAGTGGCTGCTGTATAGGCCATAAAGATATTACAATAAAACTAGCCTCAAATGGTAGCTGAAGACTTCTTCTTCACTAAGGATCATGAAAAAACTTATGAGACTGAGTAACTTATCTACCCTGAGACCATAACTTCTGGACATTCTTATGCCAAGTTTGTTGTTGCTGTTGTTTTATGGAAAATGGCTGAGTGGAGATCTCACACGTATTAAGAGCTGCTAAGAGAGAAAACATGGGACAGGGATTGGCCTCTCCATCTCCCTGAAATCGCTTTTACTCCACAAGTCTTAGCCGTAACTTGCATCATTGATACAGATAGGACTTAATAATTAACAAATTCGTTTTCCCAGTGGTTCCTGGGTGAGTTTTAATTGATTCCCTGGAGTCAGCCAAGTCTTCCTGTCTCCCTCAGGCCTGTTCCTAGCTTCAAGGTTCCCAATAATTTGCTGCAAATGCTAAC